GTTCAGCTGAAGTCTTGCTTTCTTCTTTCACTTTCACTAACATTTGTTCCAGGTCATTGTTGTTTTCTGCCAGTTAGATGGTGTCACCTGCACACAGTACTTTTAATTACTGCTGTTTCTTCCACCAATTTTCACTCCTCCTTCATCTGAATCTAGTCTGGCTTTCTTTATATGTTCTGTGTATAGATTGAACTGAAACGGGGATAAATCAACAACAATAATAATCTTGTAACTGCAGGGCTGGAATGCACCCTATGGATCATCATCCAGCTCCTGTCAAGGAGGCACAGTCAGGAATAGAAGTCCCAGCCTCTGGTTCTGCAGCCAGAGGTCGAAGCCACAGGCTTCAACCTCTGGCTGCAGAAGTTAAAATGTACCCTTGTCCAACACTTTTGCCTATAGGAAGCCAATCTGTCTCATAATATTCTTGCCAACAATACAGTGGCTTCTTGCCCACAACAGTGGCTTCTTTCCCACAATTTCTCAAACTACAATAGATGCCTTTCCATCCCTTCAGCGCTGCCTGGAAGCTGTACTGCAATGGATGAAGGAGAATGGACTGAGACTGAACCCAGCCAAGATGGAGGTCCTGAGGGTGGGTGGCCCCACCATTGGTGATTTGGAAATTTCTCTCTTTTTGGGAGGAGTGACTCTCACCACAAAGAGTGAGGTTCGCAGCTTGGGGGTCCATCTGGATCTGGCGCTCACTATGGAAACCCAGGTAGCGTCAGTGGTCCGCTTCGCCTATTTCCATCTATGGCAGACTGCTCAGCTGCATCCCTATTTTGATGCTGGGGAGCTCACCACTCTGGTCCATGCACTTGAAATCTTGAGATTAGACTACTGTAATGCACTCTTGACCATAAAGAAGGCTGACAGCTGAAGAATTGATGTGTAGCTTGCAAAATTATCTTGTAAACCGCCCAAAGAGTGCTTGAAGCACAATGGGGAAATATATAAGCAGCACGCTTTGCTTTGCTTTTGGAATTCCAGCCAAATTCCTCACCTTATAATTATTTGGTTTAAAAAGCAAATATGATGTGTCAGCATCCCTATTTTGATGCTGGGGAGCTCACCACTCTGGTCCATGCACTTGAAATCTTGAGATTAGACTACTGTAATGCACTCTTGACCATAAAGAAGGCTGACAGCCGAAGAATTGATGTGTAGTT